TCTCTTGTAGTTTGTAGTCATTAGTTCTGAATTTTGATAACGACGGAATATTTTAGGTAAATATAACAATAATAATCAAGGAAAGTATCTAGTACTAGCGATTCGACTCGACTTCGCAAAGGTTGCTAGGTAGAAACATAATTAAATATGTTTGTTTTAATTGGTGTATTTTTGATACTTTAGATTACTTTATTGTAGTTTTCATGAATATCTCTAATTTTTATTAAAAATAATGTATAAGTATAGCCTATATTACTTGATATTAATGTAGCTTTCTATAGGTAAAAGAATTTATAAAATCGGTTAAGTAGTTTTTGAGTTTTTCCATTACAAACAAACATACGAAAAATCAAATCTTTCCTTTTTATAATAATATTATAGATAAGACAATCTTAACATACTCTCTTTGACTATGATCCTCAGGAATAGCAACGCATAAAGTTTACTATGTGCAGGTACTGTTCATGCCTATAGGCAATGGTTATCCATTCCATCAGGTGGGCCGTCAGCTTGTTTGCCAGTCTAAGTTGCAAAAAAAGTTATTAATTGTTTTCATTTTTCTCTATCAATTTCGAGAGAGGTTAAACCTAATAATATATAATTAGAAACTTGGCATAAATAGGAAACAATATTGATATGTCTTTTCATCGAAATGAATGTGTATAAAATAAATAGTTAAACATAAATATGCCAAGTATAAAATATAGATTAACTGTCACATATCTTAAGGTTATCCAAGCCTCTCTAGTGTTGATCACTGGATCGCGCACGCGACTCGATCGACCACTTGACAACTATGTAGGCGCGTGCGCAGCCCACTTAGATCAACGCGCCCAGTAATTGTATCGTTGCTACTTTTTTTGCTCATTCTAAGTAGGTAGATGTTATGCACGTGTTTTATTTGAACAAGTATTCAATTAATGTAGGTAGATTTTTAATTACTTTATTATAAATTTGTTTCGATATAATAATCTACGTGACGTGGCGGTTTAACACACCGCCTTATCATCCAGTGGTCATATTCGATTTCCACCTAATGTATAAACATTTATATTCACGAATAGGTATGTCATGCAAAAAATGTCTCTATGGATTTATTATCAAATATGAGTAATTAAAAATTCCGTGACAAATTAACACTAATTCAGTATTATTTTCATTTGATTAAAAAGAATAATCAAAATCAGCTCATAAGAAAATTGAAAATGTATTGATTTTTACTTTTACATTAACTATACAAGAGGAAATACTTGCATTTGACTATACAAGTGCAAGTAAAAGTTGGAAAATACGTATTTACAAATATTATTCTATTACTAACCAATAATACTATTAACAGCATAACAAGTCGATTGTTAAGTAAACATTGCATTGTAAGAGGAACTGCGAAATCGCATGATCTCTGTATCTATCACGTAAATCGAACAAAACTATCTGCATCTTAAACTGTGCGGTAACAGAAGATAATAGGCGTGTCGCGGAAACACTTATTAGATCGAAGTAAATCGACTGGAAAAGCATAGTCGACCCACTTTAAAATATTTTTTTTGAAACCCGCCTGTTTCGAAATTATTTTGCCAATAATCCTTTCATAATGATTTTCATATTTTTATGAATATTTATAATACTCTTTTTAATAGATTTATTAGTAGATTTTCTTTTTTATAACATAGGGGGCAAACGAGTAGGTAGCCCGCCAATAACAAGTGATTCTGCCGCCCTAAGATTTTTGCAACATTAGAGAAATTGCAGAACTGTTGCCGGCCTTTTAAAAAGGAATACGTTCCTTTTTTGAAGTTTTCAATGTTTTAAATCAATTATGTTTTTCGAATTTACAAAATTTGCTTATTATTCTATTTATAAATTTTAAATTAAAAATGATAGAACCAAGTTTTCTAAGTGTTGTATCAGTTTTTAATTAATGGGAGAAATATCATAAAGTTTCAAGCCGCCAAGTGGGCCAATACTGCCCAATTTAAATGTCGTCATTCCAATCTTTTACTATCTAAACCCAAATCAATAAATATACTAATTTCTTATTAAAACTAATGGTAATTTGAACAAAATTTAAAATGTTATCTACATTTGTTAAGTACAAGAGTTAGTTCTTTACACATATGAATTTGTACGTAGACAGTAATTTTATTAGAATTGCACAGTCTTATTATGTGGCTTTCATTGAAAATTGCGTGGTTGGAGAAAATATATTTACAATTTTCTCGACTTTCCAATAATTGATATAAGTGGACATCGTGCACTTTGAAATCAAGCACCTCGTTTGTTTCAAGTAACCGTGTCATAAAACATGAATACATGTTTCATGACATGATTACTTCGAACATTTTAGTTATATTGGTGGTACTTGATTATTGTAATACAACTTTAATGTGTGAAAAATATAGTGCACTGTACACATCTTACAATCTAACATTAAATGCGAAATAAATAATATACTTTATCAAACTCATTTTGGTTTAAATGGTCTCAAAAAATCAAAACAATCCAGAAGGCGTGAACTTGTACAGACTTGTGACTACCAAAACTATAATATATAGAATAACAGTAATAGAAAAAACGTGCTCACTTTCTCGCGATCAGTTTGTCTATATTGATGTATACCTACTATCCCATACTGTTCAATTATAATAAAATCACATAATACGTTTTTCTATCTAATATTACGTGGGTAAATAAAGTAAAGTGCAGAAATATTTGTAATATTTCTAAATTGATCACAGCACGAAATTAAGGTTAATGTAACTTACTTGTAACATATTCTGAGAAAATAGTACAAAAAAATCACTCGTATCCTATCAAGAACAATAGAGATCTATAAGCTTAAAAGCTAATGAACTACATATTAGGTTTTCAGCTATCTGACGTCCACATTACAATCTGTCAATTACCCTTCTTTTACTGTGCCATAGTTGAGCAAATGGTGTGCCCGTGGTGGGTATCGAATGAATGGGAGGAACCGCCGGCGATCGTTAGACACGGACCACGAACGCCAATGTCGAATCCAATGCCACACATTGTTAAATCTCGGAAGGAAACAAACCTATGCCTTTGTTGCCTATGAAATAAAAGACGCCACCCACGCGTACTTGGTTACTGATGATGATGATGATATTTTGGTGTCTTTCAACACACAATTATTGCGTCTTCACCACTTAGTTGTTATTAAACAAGACGTATACTCAGTCGATTTACGTAATAACATTATGACACTGATTGACAGGCAAAGCACAATCTAAAGTAACGATTCCTAAAGTGGATTCCGTGGAATCTAGGGATTCTGTAAAAAAGTCAACGAGGTTCCAGGAAAATATTTATACAGTGACACAATTTTATTCTTCACATTAAAAATTAAAGAAAACTATAAAACGTTCTACTTTAAAAATATTCCTAATAGAATTTCTTTGTTCTTATTTAAATTACAGTTTTTTTTTATTTATAATAAAAAAATTATATATATATATAAAAATGTTATGCACTAACTGCTATAGTTAAAAGTTAAAAATTGTGTACCAAAATAAAAATCGACTTCAATTCTGATAAAACCAAATATTTTGCTCCAAAAATTATACTACTAAACCGATTTTGGTAAAATTTAAATTTGATTTGATTTGAAAAATTAAATTTGTATCTAAACTGACGGAGTTTGTAAAGTACCAAATTTAAAAAAAGACAAACGAATTAAGTACCTCTTTCTTTTTTAAGTCGCTTGAAAATTGTATGTTACAAGAAAAGGACATAAACGTACCTTATTGATCCATCTCATACATGTGTTCACACACAAAACTTTCCTATTACTATTAACACTTCTATTTTGACGTATGAGAAGTTATTACCTTTGAATAGTTAATAGATGATGAGCTTAAAGATGATCACCTGATAAATAGACGCGAATGGCAATAATAGTTGAGCTTTCACAGTATCTATTGTTTCGTTTCATAATATAGTTACGTATAACTTAATCTGGTGTAGAAAGTCATACAATTGTATCAGTATCATTGATAGGATCATAAAGTTTGGTAGCTCTGACACGCTTGTCAGTACTAATGGGACTGTAAATTGATGTTTCTTGCGCGGAAGAGATTGCTTGATTATCAGTCCATTTAATAGGTAGTGAACGTGACGCTCAATTTGGTGAGTGGAGTAACTTAAATTTGCAGACTTGACAGTTTGAGTTATTATTATTATTACTTACTGTAAACTACTGTGTGTAAATTAATAATGATGTTTACTACAAACAACGTAACATGTTTTCGAGCTTCAAATAGATCAGCAATTGAGATGTAAAATAGTTTTATACGTAATTATAACGTTGTACTTATGTCATTACATTTGATGATTATCTCAAATATATATTACATATGTTACATCAAACAACATTATTTCTCGTTTGATATTATATATTAAATACATTACATAAATTAGAACAATAATACATAAAATATAAATAATAATACAATAACATAGTACCAACACCAATGAGGGGATTGAATATAAAAAATTAATAAAATAGTATCGATCAGAATTTAATACATGATTACTATTTGTTCTAGTATTCTAGTTCATTCGCCGGATATTTCAGGCATAGAATAGGTTACACCTTTTTTCTCGTGTCATAGGAATCAACTAAGGAAATTTAATCTCAATTTCATCACTCTTAAAACCTTACTAAAACCTAACTGCGATGGCTAACTCACGTGCATGGCAACTACTGCCAAAACTTACCAATAGGAGGAGGCTTACATTTATGATGAGATCTACATATTGAAGTTATAATATATGAAATATTGGCCTTATAATGGATACATTTAATATCGATTACCTAATATATTATATTGAAATGCATGTTGACCTTCTTTTCCGTCATCAATGTCCAGAGAAACCCAATATACAGATATCGGAACGGTACCGATATCACTCATTCTTAATAAACATTACTGCAGTTAAATTCATAAAAATAAACAAGTATTTTTGTTTTGTTCCAGCCTAGGCCCGTTTGAGGCCTTAGCCGGGGGAGAGATGGTGTCACGACGGCGCATTCTGTCGCGTTCACGGGACGACCTAACACAGGCCCTAACAAACCAAATGGAGGAGGAGGAAGATGTCTGGTACCAAAAGGATAAGCTTTATAAGGTAAGATGTCGACAGTGCTCTAGATTACGGGGCACATGATGCCCGAGATATGACAAGTCCACGAAGACGTTTGACACTTAAATTCCCGTTACGCGCAATAAAACATAGCGTGCACAATTTGACCCAATTTATTTATTTATTTTTTTTTGTAAGATTAATGTGTTTTATTTTTATATTACTTGTAAATTATAATATTTATTGATATAGTTATTTTTTGGCACATTAATGACTTCAGTTAATGGTAATTATTAGTGTCATTCAGATTTTTTCCTAAATGGATTTTCTTAATTGTGTTATAGAATTTTTATTGACTTAGTAATTTAATAGCGCATTAATTGGTTGGTGTATTATATATTTTTCGTTTATTTCTATTGGTATTATCATTCATTTATTACTGGAGTTTTACCTGTGTTGATAAAAAGAAGATATTACTTGTTGGCTGTATGTATATATAGTAATTGTGATATATGTTTCTTAAATGACTTAACACGTTTTAATATGAGATGTCTTTAAATTTATTTTAATTCAGTTAATGTCATACTACTTATAATTGAATGTTATAAAGTTGCAAAATATTTTGGCTGTGTTTTGGTTTGAAAGGTGGGATGACAGTGAATTTACAGGCTACAAAGATAACGCCTGAGTTCCCAGGAATGGCAACGCATGGGAGTAATATGGGCGAAACAGTATACTCTGTTAGATCCATGGTACTACTCATGTCTATAGACGACGGTTACCACTTTCCATCAGGTGGGACGTCAGCTTGTTTGCCATTCTAAGTTGCATAAAAAAAATTAACTGTCTTTTTTTAAATTTTGCTCTATCTACTTGTTATAATATAATAAATTATGGCTATGAATCAGACATAACTATTATATAGCTAGCGAGTTACGATGAGGTATCGGAGCTTTCTACACATCAATCACGTGTTTGCTGAGCCGTTAAAATGCTGTTTTGAATCACTTCACATCAATACTATGTTATTATAATGCACAATGGTGAATAATATATTTCCTATTGTAGAATATGTTTGATGTTATTATACAGAGTTAGTTGTAATGGGTATAGTAAATTAAAACCCATAGTAGTGTAATAAAAAGTTGAACAACTCACCTTTAAAAATATAGTACAAGTTTCAAAATATTTTTATAAACTTTCATATTAAACTGATCGCGTTAAATTTTATGATTTCTGTCACATTATAGATTATATTTATATTACAGACACCTGAAGTATTTTCTACGAAATATATAATTACTGTTGAATATAGTACGTCAAGAATTTAGCAATTGCCATCATTATGAAACTTAAATATTGTATGTTAAAGTTGATTTTAAAAATTCGAATATTTTTGTATTATTTTTTTATGTCATCATCATATTATCATTATCTATTCACTGCTTAACATTTTTTTTACATACTCATAATTAAATATATTTTTTCTTTTTTGTACTTATTTTTTCCAATTTAGCTATCAAGTTTTAATGTAAACATAAATTACCAGAAATTTCTCGAATATTAAAATGCAAACAAATAAACAAAATCTTTAGCTGTACGGTTTTTACCCTTGAACATTCTATAGCTTTCTTTCAGCTTCTCAAAGGTTGATTGTAAGAGATCTCTCTATGAGATGAGTTCGCCATTGTATATTAAATCTTTTAATGTGTCCAAATTAAATTATGCACAATAAAGATTTTACAACAACAAAAACAACAAAATGTGTTAAGTTTGAATAAATTGTATGATTCTAGTAATTAAAAGAACATTAAGTCAAGTTGATGATATAATTGGATAAGGTGTTGGGTTCTAATTGACAATGTCGTCAATGTATATAAAAATAATAATAATAATAATAGATAAATATTTAAATTAAATTACATTTATTTTAATTAAAGCAATCTACTTTGTTAATGCCCATGTTTGAGTTAGCGTCGATTACAATATATATATTCATTAGCTTAATTTGTAACTTTATCACTGCATCCCATAGTTGTTCCGCGTGTTACGTTTTCTTTTCCTTTGTCTATAGTTACGTTTTTGTAACCATTTCCGACTGCTTGCATTTATTAAGGACGTGGGAATACTTGGTGTCGTACAAAGCGTCAACAGTTACCGCGTTACATTTTAGTCTCAACAACTTTATCGATAGCATCGCTTGTTCGATTTACATCGACATTTACGCCATTGGCTTTGTAATTATATAAGAGACTGGCTTTGTTCGCGACTCTGTTTAGATTTTGGAAGTACCTATAGACAAAACAGTCGCGTAAAAAGAAAACGAATGTAATAGACTCGTTCTAAATCTAGATAAAATATACCCCATTTTAAGTTAGAATTTCAGTAACATAACCGTAAAAACTGCATCGAACTTAAGTCTAGTAATCTAATCTAGGCAATTGTTATTTTGGCTTTTATTGTTCTTATTAAGATCTTCTCAAATTTATATTTTTAACAAATATCTTCTATGTTCAGTTATATTAAAACAAATTATTAATTTTGTATAATTACTAATTTGTTTTAATATGTGATCATTTTGTATAACTGTATCACACACATGAACTAAAGAAAAAAATCAATGGCATTTTTATATTTTTATTTTCCTTTTTTTTGTATATATATTTTATTGTTTTTTTTATGCAACTTAGAATGGCAAACAAGTTGAAGGCCCATCTGATGGAAAGTGTATTTGTCGATGCCATTGACATAATGTGTACTGTTTCGCCCAATGTTTTAATATTTGTTAATATTTATCTGTGTTTGTCGATATTTGTGTACTGAAGTAATACAAAGAAATTTTCTATCTATCTATGTACGTAAATGAATTATCATTGGATGTAATACCACTATCACTAATGATTAAATTACTGCATCTAACAAAACTCTTCAGTCTCTGTCATCTATTATTCTTTTAAGGAACCTGTACTACCCATTTATAATATCTAAGGATAGACAGTGAAAGTTTGATAGTTACAGATGTCCCAAATCGAGCAAATGATAGAGCGATCACAAAATATTTACATTTATCTATTGAAATCGGCATCTTTGTACCGTTGACAGATGCAATAAAAGAGAGAAAGGCATCATGACTTATTACAATACTTGTTTATTTCAATAGATGTTTGAAGCAATAATTGTACTAATTTTAAAGGCAACGAACGCAGCTTCTTAATATTATATCGGACTGCTATAACTGCACGAATTGTTATGTTCAATTCGCAAGGCATTTCGAAAAATTGCTCACGATATAAGTTAAGTACTGTGCAAAATTATCTGTTACTAGATCCGGCTATTTCGTTTGCATTATGATAAATTTCTTTGTTCGCTTATATGATGTTATTTAGGTTCAATCAAAAAATTACAAAACAAATAGTGAACCTCTTAATTTATTTGAAAACAGAGAACTATTTACTCCACAACTAAGTACAATACTTAGTTGAAATATACCTCTGATCACCAATTTCCACCTGTCTAATTCCACCTGCGTTATTGCTATATGCTAACAGGGCACGAGTAGTTGATGATAGATGAGAATTATAACAGGCCCTCTAGACAAGTGGCAAGTGAATTGGTCGATGAAATCGACATCGTTAGCGAGTCCGTGAGTTGAAATGAGACATCCGACGTTGCTATCTCACAGACTCGCTAGCGATGTCGATTCCATCGATAAATTCGCTTGCCATTTGTCTAGAGGGTTAGATCTATTGGCTATCGTGATGAATTTTCTAAGAATTTAGTACGACAATTTGGATGGGGTCCGCGTCACTTTCTGCCACGAACTGTCAAAAATATAAAATTACCATAAGCGGCATTGCCTACTAAATACGATATGGGGACCTTCAATAAGAGGATTTATAGCTTTTTGAAAGGCCGACAACGCATTGTTAACTCCTCCTCAGTGTCCGTGGGCTGTGGTGATCAGTTACCATCAGGTGAACCGGATGCTACTTTGTCGCTCTTTCACATAAAAAAAATTAAGGATTAACTTACTCATTACTAGCAATCTCTTTCCTCTCTTTTATGTCCGATTGTCTTTTGACAACGTCAAATATTGTGCAACCAGTTTTAGATTGGAAAGATTATTTTTCATGCTAAATGACCGTGTTCCACCACAGTTCGGGTGCAACATTCCGTTATTTGATAATGAACTAGACAGGTGACATTAAGATATGACGATGAAGAATACAAGAATGTGTAACTGTAATGAAAGTTATCATCAACCAACCTCAAAAAGGAGGATTCCATTCATGTTCCAACCGTAAAGCAGTTGTGTTTGCATAACTGTGTTTCGGTTTGAAGGGTGGGATATGGCGTGAATTTACTGGGTACAGAGGAATAACACCTGATTCCTCAGGAATGGCAACGCATGGGGGGTATCATGGGCGAAACAGTATACTCTGTTATGTCGTGGTACTGCTCATGTGTATAGGCGGCGGTTACCGCTTTCCATCAGGTGGGCCGTCAGCTTGTTTGCCATTATTTTTTTTTTGTACGTATTATGTATGTTACATCGTGTATATTCATTAGTAAAAGTTCACTGTCTAGTTTGTCATATGCTAAAATTGCATGATTTAACTATCTTTTTTAATCACTTGTTAAATTAAAATAAAAAGTGAAATGACCCAACAGAAAATCACAATTAGAAGATTCAAGAAAATTATATATATAAGATATGAATCTTCACAAAAGAATACTTTCCAAAATTAAAATTAAGTACATACAAGTATATAACACCAGTTCGACGTTCATGATTTTAGCCATCTATAAATAAAAAGTATCATTCCAATTAATTTACGAAAGTCCCATTGAAGTCCCATCAAGTGCCTACAATCACATCTTTTAACTTAATATCCAATATATTAGTTCACGATATATACGTAATATAATTTTATGCCTTTAAGAAATCGTATCCATTCATTCGTTTAAGCATAATAAACGTTTCTACAAGAAAAAATCCAGTGACTGCATTAGAACAAGTATAGACTAAACCCATTACGGTTAGT